ACACGTCAGAGATCCTCCGCAATCTGTCTACGGCGATTTTGCCGACTGCGACTCGTAACTCGGGGTTCGAGGGAATTTTCGGGCGGAATCCGTTGCCGAGATGCGCCACGTTCGAGGAATAATTTCCGAGTTATTCTAGCGAGACGGTGGTCCAATCGAAATTCGCTTTGTTGCTTGGGAAATGGGTCGCGGGGAGATGTGCTCTTGGTACGGTGCTCGGTGACCCTAAGTTCCCTGCTGCGGATTTGGACCTCTGTGATTACTTTGGGACCGCTTCGATGTAGGAATTTTATCGGATGCGAACGTAACGAGCGAGTATCGCTTGTAAGGGTGCAAAATTATATATCTTGACTATAACACCGAATGTATCGGTCTTGTTCGTTCTTCACGTTCGTTTAATTTTTGATTCGTATTACTTTGCATTTGCATTCGCGTACCTCTATTCATAGCTCTCCCAAAAATGTAGAAATGCTCTAAGAATGGTGAACGTAATAACATTTCATTTTTAACCGCAAAGAGCGAAATTCTTTTCGTAGATGGATGGCTTTATATCATATTTCATTCGTATATAAAAATATATATATAATATTTATATGTTTATATAATCGCATACCTAAATATAATAATAAAAAAAGTCTGGTAATACGATTATCATATTATATTATCTAACCTGTCGTCGTTGTTATCTAGCCAAACGTCGAATTAAAAGTACACAACTTTTTCTGAATATTAGAAAATTCATCTAAATCGAACTCCGATTTGGTCGACAACCGCGCAGAAAACGCAAAGCTCATTTATCAGTCAGAGAAAAATCGTCGTTAATAAATCGTTAATTTATTACCGACCTTCTGCAACCTAAACAATTTTCTTCGAGTTACTAGTCCGTCCTATAATGTCATTGTTACCGTTCATTACTCTTCATTGAAGGTTCGTTACGTTTGCTTCGCGAAGTTATTTGAAACGAGATGACCTGACGTGTTCTTTCGTTGCGTCGCTCTGACTACGCTCTCCAACCAGTGAAATTTCGTAAGAAATTGTTTGCCGTCTAAATTAATTCGCATTTTGTAAATACCGGGTTGCTTTCTACAAGAGTATTTAATTACGCGGAAATTAATTGGGCTTTCTAGGTAGAAGGTAATTTTAAGTAACAGTTGCTCTCTGGTACAATGAATTTTTTAATATCCTGTCATTTGGAGGTACGCCAAGCGAATTAAAAACATATTAAAGCGTAGAAAAGAGTCGTCCGTTGAAAATTTTTGCTTCAGAATTTCATTACCTTTTCAGCCCTTTATCATGGCCATTGTTTATTTATAGTGAAATATAAAATTGTTCGGTGTCATGTTTACTCCGATAAGTACGACGATATCAATCTATATACAAATTTACATTAAATTCTTTATTCAAGAATGATGGCATAACAATTATTTCCTCACGTGGAAGTTGCGATACCTGCATAGGGGGATGTTAAATGAAATTTGGGGATAATTTTCACCATAAATTCTGTACCCGGAGTAATATAGAAGTTCAAACAGTCGACCTGTTAACCTCGTTTCCAAATTACAGTCGTTTTAATACCCTTGTTAATTACCCGTGTTTTCAGAAAATGCTATTAGTTTCCGATACGAGCAGCTATTACCGAGAGGACATATTCAAACGATTCATTAAACATTATGAAAGTTATACAGCACGAGACACGTATCCGATAGTACGAAACGTCGGTTGTAAATATCTCAGTGGTACGGGAATTTCAAACTAAACACAGTTATATCAGTTTAAAACAACAATTACTAATACACTAATGGCGGCTATAACTGCAAAAATGAAATCAGATAGGATAAACGTTTATCTGAACTTGCTTGATTATTTATGCCTGGTGAATTCATTCCTGGAGACGCGAGCTAGTTTCGCGAAATTCTCTGTGTATCTAATATCATTCGTGCATCGTTACTACGAAATCAAACGAACAAGAACTTGTGAATTACGACTTAAAAATTCCATTAATACAATATAAATATTCCATTGTCGATGGTGGTGAATTTCAAGTTAAAATGTAACAGCTTTTAAAGTAGCTTAATTCTGGTATTTTTTCCCCGATATACACGGGAACGGATCTTGTTCCAAAAGGTACAAAGTAATAATTATCGCCAAAAAAACGTTCGAACGTATGAATTAGAGAAGACCATTTGAATTTTATAAACATAATATTTAAACGCATTTATGAAAGAATCCAATGAAATAATTACAAGAACGTATATTTCTTGATTTATATCGTACTTATTGTTAGCGTGCAAAGAACGTTCGGGCGTAAGAATTGAACGTTCGAATTTTCCTGGATGCTAATTAAGCAAAGAAAAAGGTCAGAGCTGCAAGAAACAGCGAGCACGGCGTGCATAATAATGTACATTCGACGAAAGAGTTCCTCCGATACGCCTCAATTCCTACGGTTTTAATGAACATCCAGCCGGGAGCGTAATGAACTTGACCGAACTTTATCGTCGCGAGTTCATCAGCGAATTTAATCGGAGGTTAGCGAAGCGGATAACCGATCAGGGGTGAACAATAGGGTTGCCGAGTTACCCTGCCCCGAGGTATTAACGTGACGTTAGGATACGTCAAGTTCCAGCGGGCCGCGCGGAACACAGGCCATGGAAATTGTTCGATGCTTAAATTTCTCTACCCGTACGATGAAAATCTGGAAGTTTTAACGATAACGACCGAACCAGTAATCCGTTCATTAAAAGCCAGCCGAACGTACGATTATTTCATAAGAGTGATCGCTCGTTTCCCGAGAGTATTCGCGGAACTTGGAGGTCCTTCCCCGATTAAACTTTGTTTGCCGAAGAAAAAGTGCCAATTAATAGGCTACGGATGCGGATATCGAATAGTTGCTGTCCGGATGTGCTAGAAGTTTGGAGAAGTCTGATTATGGAACTTTTAAATAAATTTTGGAGGTTTTTATGGACAGCAGTAGATTTTTGTTGGAAATTGTGAAAGGCGTGGAAGTGTGAATTTAAAATAAATACCAGCTTATAGGGGATGATGAGACGGAACTTTTCTATATTTACAATTTATTCGCAGGGTGTTCGGTTGCACAGATAAGAATTGAATACTTGGAAAACACTTTTCCTCCAATTCAATTTTCCCAACGAACTTCTAACTTTTCAATTTTTATTTTCGAAACTAACCATCCTACGAATAGACTACAAATATAACAAAATTTCGTTTCATCGTCCCCTGTAAGCTGATCAATTTTTTAAAAATTGATTCGACGGATATAAACACTTCTCCGAGTTTATTTCTCGAGGGCACAATTGAAATTTCATCGAGAATTGAAAAGGACCCCAACCTTGACCTGGCGGAGATTTCGTTCGTTAAATTAAAGTTACGTGCAGCCGATACCTTGTCTGACCTTAATACGTCTTATTTGTCACGATTGCGAGAGTAAGTCGAAGCCGAAGGGGGCAATTTATCTCGCGAAGAAACGTCACCGTTGGAAAATGGGCTACACGAGAACCAATTTATCAAGGTCAATCCTTTTTCGATATTAAACATCCCGTCGTCCTTGAGTTCTTCGGAATTTATTTCAAAGCGAATGCATCAGAATCCATTAAGCCATAAATGTGTAATAAACCATCAATTACCATTAAAGTAAGCAATTATTATTGGTGAAGTCCTCGAGGAACTTTTAACTTCCAGTTGAAACTTTAATACAGATCTTTGCCAAGATTGTGACCTTTCGTTAAACTTTTCAGTTACTTACTTATTTATTAACAAGAGTATAGTTCTCTCGCGGATCGTTTCGCTTAAAAAATTTCTAACTTCTTTGATTTCCCTTTTCCAAGGGCAAATATTTGTCCCCAAGTTCCCACGACTCTTGCTCAAGGAAAAGAACGCAGCATCCTGTTTAAATAAACACACCGCTTCCGACCAGCTACCATAAACAGCAACGTAGTAAAAGGTAACGGTTTCGAAGCTGCATCTCTACTTTTAACAAAATCCACCGCGCGCGGTGTCTAGAGGAGTGGAAGGGAGTGAGTTGCGGGGAATTTAAAAAAAGTAAAGTCGTTAGCAAGAGGTACGAAATGTAAGAGCAGCGAGTGGAGACAGAGGCAACTTGGCCGGGGATCTAATTCCGTCGCTGTACACAGAAGTTCGGCCCTCGAAACGTCGAGGAATACGTAAAACGCTCGTCCGTTTTTCTCAAGCGAGCCGAGGGTAACCCGTTTTACTGTCGCGAAAGTTCTTATGATAATCGCGACCGAAACTTTTTCGAAGCCCGCCCGTCGCGATCGGCGTTCGACTGCGGTCGACGCCAATGTTCCCCTCGGGAACGGTTTTTGAATTTCAATTCGTACTCCTCCCTTTTCGCGAATACTGCTACGCGTACGCGTATATCTGCATAGCGAGTCGATTTACGACAACGAAAGTGAATAATTCGATTACAAGAGGATTTATGCTCTATTTCTCATCGTCAGAAAACAATCGATTCCGTCTTTAAACGAAGATTCATCGTCTATCGCGTTGAATTATTTTCATGTTTCGATAGAAACATTATTTTTTGGTTGTTTCGTATTCGAGTAGAGTAATATATGTACAATGGGGCACGTTCTGTATCGATAAGGTAGAGTAATCAGTCGGTAAGGCTCGGTAATGTAGAGCACTGTGTCGATAAATCTGTCGACTGATTCGGGTTCTGCGTTGCCAAGACTTACCTACAGGACATACACCACATTACCGAACGAATACCCTACTTTACCGCCACAGCAGACAGAATACGTAGTAGACAGAAAATAATTTTGGTATCGGAGCTAGGAAAAATTGATTCTTTATTGCAATAATTAATACATCGTTCTGCATAAAATCGCCACATCTGAGCATACCAAGAGCTTTTAAATAACGATATTACACACGGTACAGTCGAAACTTGACGCCAATTATTTGTCCACGCGCTTTCCAGCGGATTCCAACGACTGATCGCTGCTTTCTGCTTTCTGTTTCAGATCTCTTCCATCACCAGCTTCTGCAGTGTGAGTAGCTACTTGTCTACGGATATATTGGATATCGAATCATCTGCTTTTGTGCGCGGGGAACAATACTTTCCTTCTACTCGGTATTCTCGTCCCTTTTGTGCTTCGTGCACAGCACGTATCTGCAGGAAATACAAATGTCGTATAAAAGATCAGATATCCGCTTGGAGATCTCTCTGTTTACACCAGGACGAACGATCGCCTTTATATAAATAATTCTTTTACTTCGATAAATAATTGTTCGAGTATTTTTATTTTGGTCGGTAATCAGAGCACGTATACAGAATCCTTTCGTCGATTATTGGTTACGAGCGATCCGATTTATTCTTTCAACTACGTAATTCGTCAGGAAATACACGTTTATGAGGCTTGGTTTGTTGGCATTTACGAGGAACGACTGCGAGATTGTTTAAAATTTATATTTTGCCTATTTTCGTTGAACAATCATGCGATCGAAAATAAAGTAATTAAACTGCACGGAGAGAATATTTTTAAATGCGTACAATCTATATATATTTTTAATTACTTTATTTCGAGCTGTATGACTGACCAGCAACGAATATACGTTTTAAAAATTCTAAGAATCAACAAAATGAAATCGAAATTATGGCCTATACAGCTTCTATATTATCTTTGTTATTATATATTCGAAGAATATATTATTGAAACTTGAGAAATCCATGAGATAACGGAATGTAGATGATTTAATGAGAATATATTCGGCTAATGAATGTAAATGAGAATGATATACAAGAAAATTATATAATACAACATAGAACTACTGGAAGGGAAGATTAATTCTTGAAATATAAATTTGGAATATGACGGTGTATCAGATGAAAGCCTTCATTCGACCTGATCGATCGCAGCCCCCAGTGTCTTGACATAAATTCAAGAATTAATCGAGAGTTAAAAGCATCAGGTTCGAACCGTTTGGAATATTGGTTTGACATATTTTCCTGAATCCTGGATGGAAATGCAGTCTCGTGCAACACCAGGGAAGAGTCGTGCAGAACCAACAGGGACAATCGTGCTTTTCTTCCACGCAATAACTGGAAATATATTCTTGATCCTTTCGCCTGATAGGATTTCACACGTTAGACGAGGGAAGGACGGAGACCTGGTTCTATCTTGTTGAAAATGTTTAGAAAACATTTCCTGAATTCTTGCAAGAAATGTTTGCAGAATAATTAATTTTGTTAGTAAACCTCCTCGTTTCGCCTTCTCCTCCTTCTCATTTATATCTGTTATCTCTAGTGGTTCTAATTATTCAACACGCTTAGCTGATGCGTCTATTTTAAGTATAAATATAGGTTCATCGTATTGATACTTAAAAGGGCTGTTTCGATCATTCATTCGAAATATTCTCAGGTCTTGGGGTAGTTTTTCTTATTTCAACCCAAGTTGTTACTTAATCAAAAATGATATTCCATATTTAAGATACGATGCATTCTGTCCTCTTCGGTACACGTTACAATATTCTATAAAATGTTTCACATTTATTTACCTCGTTAAATGGTTAACATTAGAATCGTTCGAACGAGGGAAGAAGAAGAGTCTGTTCCTATTTATCCCGACTTTGTCTTTCCCGGGAAGCATATCGAGCGCACTTGACCCGGCGCGATGAGTCTGTTCGCAAGAGGAAGGAAAATAATCGTTAGCGAAACAAGAACACCCTCGGAGGGAAGAAAAGGTTAACGAAGAAAGAAAGAAACGATCGAAGAAGCGTCTCGTGTTCCCCCGCCGCGTCTATAGAAGGGAGTAGAGTCGAAGCATAAGAGGCCGCGGCCAGCGGACATAAGGAGATGGACGACCAGAATCCTGTTAAAAATGGCCGCCATTTCTCGAAGCCACGAAAAACTTCCAACTCGGTCTTCCTCCCGGTTCTCGATCCTTTGAGTCATAGAATGACAAAAGTCCGATGAAAGTCGCGGCGAGGCGGACGTCTCGTTCCCGTTGCATCACCTGGATGTCCTTGTTTCCACGGCCTCATATTTTTCTGCAAATCGGTTTGAATACGTGAACGCCGTTTCTCTGTTTCCCCGATCGTATCCGATGTTCCTCGATACTGTAACTGGTGCTGCGCCGCGCAATCTGGGACTTTAGCATCTCTCAACACCATTCGATCGTGCGGGGTATTTTAATATATGTATACAGGGTGCTACAGAATTAATACAAGAACCGGAATGATTCTGACACTAAAGGGGGGGTAGCTGAGACGATTCCGAACCCACGCTATTTATTAGATAGTATTTTCAACGTTTAAAGTCTTTCGTTCAGGATTCGATACTATTATTCCAACATGGATCTAAAATATAGAGAAATATTTATTTCACAATTAACAAGCAAACATCCAGCGCTCCCCGGAACAATGTGACGTCGGTCGTTCAATATTTTCAGGCAATTTTAACGTGCACCGCGTTATATCACTTTTTGTTCCTGAACACCGTACAAAGCCGTGCATTAGTTACATAAAAATTGAGTGCCCGCATCCAAAGCAAACGAACAAAGCTTTGAAACGGACACTGCCGATGGATCATTTTCACTTTGATGAAATATAAAAGGGAGACGGCCACGTGCGTTCTGCGTGAGGAAAATGGTGGAATACGAGGGGAAAGACAGGACACGGTATTACAGAGAAAGAATTTCGCTAAAAATGGCCGATCATTTATTCATACGCCCCAACGAACGTCCCTTAGGGCACTCGACCCTGACCGTTCTCGCGATATTTCATTATTAATTTTTCGCCGGAAACCATGCCCTTAACTTTCAATCTTCCCTCTGTTGGGACCTGGTTCTTTCGAAATACTTGAATGATTCTATTTGAAATTGGGTTCCCTTTCATCGTCAGCGCCATTTCTTTCTTCTGTCGTTCTTCTTTCCGAGGGACCTATTACGTACTTCCTGGTTCGGGGACTTCCAGCCCTTAAATCTCGTGGTGCACAAGGTCTCTTGATGAAATTGGGTTGATGATAAAAAGTTTGTGGGCTATATAGAGATCGGTAACACGTGTACAAACTGAATTTCACGAATTTGGTATTACTTTATGAATTGTATATGGGGAATAAAACGATGCCTTCTAATCAGTCACAAAAGTTTGTGTACACCCTATACGTTTGCAATACTGCCGAAAATATAAAAGTTTCGATATTCCAGGAGTTATTAAATTCTTTTGCAACAAATACCATACGATATTAATAAACGGAAATTAAAAAAAGCTGAATAATATTTCCCCAGTACGTAGTAAAAAATTGGTGGAATATTTGAATCATTTGTTTCTCTCAGAATAAAAATGAAATTCGATACAAGTGGACCAGTATTCATTTACGCAAATTTTGTATTGGATCGAGAAAATTAAATTTAAATATGTTTCCAAAAGAATCGTGAATTTCGTGTGAAAAGTTATCATTAGAGAAGCAGCAATTTAAGGTAGTTCACGGGAGATATGAATTTATAGCGTCGTTTGACAAATACGTGGGATGTAGTTTGAACCTTAAAGCGTCTCGTAAATTATGTACACGTATCCTAAGAGATTCGTTTTATGTTCGCGGCGGAGCCTTACTACTGAATTAGTTGGGATAATCCTGAAAAATCTGCTGAAAGTTTTATTTCCATGACATGTCGAAGAGTCGAGAGTACATTTTTTTTAATTTCATACAGCGTTAATTATTAACTTCGATAATTAACTAACGAGAGCTTATCATTTCTTTTCGACTTTGCGGATGATTTGAAAATAATATCGAAATAGAAGATCGTTCTTTTTCTAAGCTTTATTAAGGTTCAGTTTTACAAGAGCGTTCAATGACGTAATATTTAGATCGACGTTTTCACTTACTCCGATCAATATTTCTTACGCCTTCGTCGATAGGTTGCACTTTCATCTTCCCAACAATGTCTCATTTAGAGCAAATTGGTGCCAGACGCGAAGCACGCTAAAACGAAATAAACTCGCGAACTTGGTCGCGTTAAATATTAATTTTCTTAAAATAGCCCACAAATCCCAGAGGCGCGTAGCGCTTTCGAAGTAATTTCCAGTTAGCAGCCACCGCTGATATCCGCGTCGCGACGCTTCCGAGCAAAAAACGCTCAAAGCATCGCTCGTTCTTAAGGAAATGGTAGAAAGCCGAGCCATGACACGTCCCGCCTGCGCTTGACTGCTTTCTCGAACCTCTAGACGTAAAAAAGAATTCTGTTAGGCAAGTAAAAACGTTACACCTCGGTATCGTATCTCCGCTCATCGATAAACTATTAAGCGCACGAGTAGCTGTAGTTCTTAATCGAATATGGAAATTTTGAAAAATGTTGATGAAGATGGTTTCATATTAAAACTGTACAGGTAATACGAAATCTATTATATAGGCTCTATACATTACGTACAATGTGCTATATATTGTAAGTTACTTTTAATTAATAACTAATTCAAATCACCTCCCGAACCACCCGTTTCAAGGTGTCACTAGCAGCTTTGCAAAACTACGTACGCAGAATTAAAACGTAAAATGTACCACACACTTCGCGTAGTGAAGTGAAGTGTCATTCGGGATATATTCTTTGCCAATTTAATCTCTCTCGATCGGATTCCCGTTTTACGATTAAAAATGTAGCATCGGTAAATACCCGTTGGATCGTATGACGGGAACTGGCACGATGCGCCGAGCATTTTCGTCTCGTTTAACTCTTCCGAATCATTAATACGGTAGGTGGATTAATGGCGTAAACGGATCTCACGGTTTTAACGATCTCCGTCAAGTCTGGTCCCGGGAAAATTGCTCGATTGGTGCTCATTACGCAATAAAGTTGCAGCGGCCGGGTAGCAAGCAAAGTGATCTATTCCCGTGACTAGTCTTTCTCGAAGCAACCCTGAAATCCGGCCTCCTCGGTTCTTTTCTCCTCCCGCAGTCTCGCGTCGTACCTTCTCGAGTGCCTTCGTAGATCATGTCGCGCGAAAATAAATGATTTCTCCGTTTTTAACGAGATCGTAAATTACGGAACGTGCCCAC